AATATTACTAACGTAAAACTTTGCACAAGGACCCTCAGGGGAGCAACCAATCCACAGGTACAAATCCTGAGACTTTCGGGTCTCGAATAACATAACGGCGTTACAGTTTCTCAATTCACAAATTTCATTCACTACATTGAGCTTTTCTTTGGTATCCAACTTGGGTTCCTTCTTTCCGTGAGGAACTAACTTCAAGATATCTTCCATCAAGTGACGATAGCGAGCTGTTATGCCCCTTGTAGAAAGAATGACAACCTTGCGCTTCCAAGAATTTTTGTTGGAGTCTTCCTCTCCACTAAAACTATTCTTTTTTCTTTCCATAATATTCATATTTTGGGAGATTCCTTGTGTTTTTTCCTTTACTGTAGCGGAGTTGACGTCGACCTTGCGCTTTCCCATGTTTTTATTCTAAATCCAATTGATTGAAATTTTTCGGAGCCAATGTCCTATTATTTCATACAATACGTTGAGAAATACTTCATACAGAAGAATGTGCAATAGGCAACGAAAATAACTCTATAAAAGCTATACATGGATAAATTTTCTTCTAGCAAAACATTATGCTGCTCCTCAGTATTATCTTATATTTCTCCTTCTTCTTTTTCACCTGATTCCAACAAAGATGACAAATTCTCTGAAACGTGCAGTTGATCTAAAGTCTCAGTTTCACGAAAACCCTTGAAGAAACAATAAGTGTCAAAGAACCTCGAGAAGCTTCTTCTTACATTCTGCTCAGATATTGTTCCAACCCAAATTATAGGAGACAACAAGTTTCCAAAATCTGCAGAACTCTTGATAAATCTCTATAGAGAAGTAAGACAAATGATAAACCAATAAGTACAACTCTTACTTCTACTGCTTCCAACATCTCTATATCTTCGTCAGCCATATTTGCCTCACAAAACGAGTCAACATTCAGCGTCTCTGAAGTTTCCTTTCCAGCAGACTTGAAAACATTACAGTTCGAATTCCCACTGATATCAAAGTTTTGCTTCCAACTGTAGCAAGTCAGTCTTTCAAAAGTAGGTGAGGAAAGAAGTTCCTCCAAAACTCTATCACTGTCTTCTACTTCCGTTTTTGAAAAGTCCCAAACATCCCATTCACCTATAACTACCAGACCACCAAAAGGAGATTCTTTCCTTCTCTTCTTTGGCTCTCTGACAAAGCGAAATAGAGAACCACAAAAACTATTACTACCGGGACCAATCTTCTCTTTACGAAATGTTTCGTATTTATCTGGTGACCAATACGGAAACACTTTGAATAAATGTTTCTGTACGGACGAGAGTTGACTTGGCTTATCCTCCATGGGCAATTCTCTTACAAACGATCGACTTGACCATTTTCAATCAATTTCTGTTGAATATCTTCGCAATAGTCATATTTGACAAGATGAAAGAGACCTAATGTACTCTCTATAAGAATTTTGTAATGAAATAGGAATAAAGGTATCATCTATAGTAGTTTATTTCCGCATACACTTTGAAAATGGAATATCGTGTTAAAACTCTAAAATATTTCCAAGGAAGCTTGAGAAAAGGTTAAAATATGCTTCTCAAATAGTCTAAACCAAAAGTAACATAAATTATTCCATTGTAGACATAAAACCACCATGTTCATGACTTAAGTTTCTTAAATGGTATCTTGAGAAGGTTGTCATAGTTGATCGAATGCTTTCTGGAAAGTGACAAAATGTCTTATGCTCTAATATGACGGGAAAGGACCAACCTGACACCTTTTTATTAAGAATTTTTCACAACGATTCAAACGGCAAACAGAAATTTTTTGACTAGAAAAATATAGAAGAATGTTTTGGAACAACAATTGGAATGCATTCTTCGGAGCTGAAAAATTTGAAACTTTCAATATTGGATAGTAAAAAAATTTAATCATTCGATATTGAACGATATCTTCTATAGTGCATGTCATTTATGTATCTCAACACATGTTTCAGTCATATTATGTAATTGGTTTGTGAAAGATGAACATTTCCAACTTCTGCGTCAACAGCTGCTATATTGTTTAGCACAACTTCAGAGCCCATTCGAAATGGTTGGTACTCAAGATTCGGAAGACGAGCTGCTTATTCCTCCTCTTAACTTTGCTATGGTTTCACCCGGAGTATATCGAGCAGGTGCGCAAAGATCCACTGTTCTGTAGAATGAGAAAGAATCCTCAACTCACGAAATGTATGTATTTAGGGTATCCTAACAAGAAGAATTATCCTTTCTTAAAAAAGCTAACTCTCAAAACGGTGCTTTATCTATGCCCTGAAGACTACAGTGTAAGAGATCGTCAGACTTGGAATGTTGGATTGATTGTGCTGTGCTTTCATAGTCTG